GAGGGAGAGAGAGATAGAGATATCAATGATGAGAGAGAATCATTGATTGGCTACCTCCTGCATGCCCCCAACTGGGGATTGAGCCTGCAATCCAGGCATGTGCCCTGATCGGGAATCAAACTGTGACCTCCTGGTTCATAAGTCAGCGCTCAACCACTGATCCACACCAGCTGAGCTGAAATAATTATATTTTTCCAAACAAAAATATGCAGTAAGAAGATGGCATTGGTTTTCCTTTATATCTTTAATATCTGATTTAGTGGAGGGCAGCTGGAGTCTCATATCTGCTTGTAGGTTAAATTTGTTACTGTGTTGTTTTGGTTGAAGCACATGAAGAAAATTTGGTCTCACAGAGACATAGAGTTAGAAAAGGGGGAATACTTAGCTTTCTCAGATGCCCTTTTTTGTATTTTTTATTTGATACTATGTCAGAACTTTATAGTTGGTAGTTTCTTAGAGTTTAGTTGCAATGTGGAATCTGAAACCATATCAACGAACTTTTTTGCCTTCTGACACATTAAAATCCAGGGGTCTGTTTTGTGCTTTGAGTGGCTCTATTTTACCTTGCATGGTTTATTAGCATCATGTTTTGGTCATTTGAAAATATGGTTGAGTTATGCAGGCCTTCCAATTGTCACATTAATATACAGAAATCACATTAATTTATTATTATCTTCGAACTCCTCAGAAAAGTCTTTGAGTATCGAGATTTTTGTCAAGCTCGTGGTAGATGAAAACATTTTCTATAATTCTACTTTTCACTTGAAAGCTCAAATTTTATTATTGGCAACAAGTACTGTGAGTTGTTTCCCTTGAAGTGGCAGGCTCACTTCATTCATTTCTCAAAAAAACGCTTGCCAAACCTTTAAGTGTTAATAACATAGTTTATCAGTCATTCTTTTGAGTGAAAATTATGCTCAGTGAAAAAAGAGGCTAGTTTCAACTTGCAACTCAAAGAACATACAAGTGATTTTCCTTCAGACAACCATCATAATTCAGTATTTTCACAGATAACAGAGTGTTTTATGTGTACTTTCCATTTTATTATACAGAATATCAAAGAGCCAAATATTCCATGGTCGAGATGTTTAAAAATTAATCATTCTTACTCTTTATCATGGATCTTCTTAAGTGAAAGTGAAATGTATGGGCGCGCGCGTGTGTGTGTGTGTGTGTGTGTGTGTGTGTGTGTGTGTGTGTGTGTGTGTGTGTGTGTGTGTGTGTGTGTGTGTGTGTGTGTGTGTGTGTGTGTGTGTGTGTGTGAGTGTATGTGGCAGTGAAGAACATGAGCACTAGTAGAGTTTGATGCCATGGCCTTGATTCATGCTAAGGCACTGAATTTCACCCATCATTACTTTTGCCCATCAGTATCAATGTAGACGCAGTGAAAAAAGACAAAAAACATCAATGTTATTTGCCTTTTATAAAAATAGCTTGACCTTATAGACTCCATGCAATGGAACCTCAGGGATCCATGCACCATACTTAGAGAGAATATTTGGTGTTTTAGGGGATCTAATTTTTCCATGTCTCAGAGGTTGTATAGATCCTATGCCTATATTAAATTATGGCTTATTTATGCTCCTCCACATTTCTGAATAAAAAAATCAGGCAAAAATAAGTCTTGAAACAGCCTAAAGGAGGAGTGCATATGAAAGTCAGGTTGGGGAGATCAGACCACTAATTTTCCCTTGTAATGACAGTCTATGATTATGGGTTGAGTATATTTATAAGGATTGTAGTATTTCACTCTTATTGTTTTTTTGCCAATACCTAAAAATGTCCTGTCTCTCACCCCCACTGCCTCCCTTTCCTCAACCATCAGTTGCATGGAGTAAAGCTGGGATGGTGTGGTATAGCAGGTGAGGTTTTCTAAGTCACCAAGACCCTGATAGTTTCCTTGAATGCTCTTACTGTAAGAATGAATCTGAATTCACACCCAAAAAAGAGCCATAAATATAAATTAAATACAACATTTTTTGAATCATAAAAGATAAATTAATTATATCTGTTGACCTTCAATAGGTAGCAACGCAGATCTAAGTAATCAAGTAATGCCATCAGGCATCTTATCCAGCAGTCGAGGATTTGAAGATAACATTACAGAATCTCAACATATGCTGGTGGCTGAAATCATGGTGTCAGGTATGAATAATAAATCCTCCAGTACAGCTTTGGTCCCGACAATTTCCATCCTACCAATTAAAATTCTGAATTATCCTCTAACTTAATGTTGGCTAAATCTACACAAAACTAGTGAAGCCCAACTTTGGACTCCAACTTTGGACCCCATATTAGACTGGACATGAACTTTATTCATTGAGACTCTGCACTGAACCTTCTTGGAAGAAATCTAACTTGGAAACAGGGGTGAAAAATAAGACAGAACAGATTTGAGTGTATCCCCCACACCTTGTAGTTTTGATATTTGGCCCATCTAGCTGTACTTCCATTAGTGTGAAAGTAGATAGTAATTGATAAGAAAATATAGGTCATTTGCTTCAGCTGCTCCAGAAAGTCCACAAATAGCAACTATTAGAATTTTCCTTCTATATGGCACATTTATCACCAAATTGCTAAGTTATTTGTTCAGTATTTAACAACTTTAGGGAACATAATTCTTTTATATTCTGTATTCACTCATGAGACCAGTGGTTTTCAAATTGGATTTAGCTCAGCCCTAGGTCTTCTGCAAACCCCACACCTTCTCAGGCTAGGTCTCTGCCCTTCAATCAGTGCAGCGGAGTAAGATTTTAACAGTGTCTGTGACTTAAAATATGTTTGGAAACTCCACAGTAGGACACTACACTTAACAAAGTGCTCGTCCAACTTTTATGATCTGCACACTAATTTGTTAATGTCTAAGTCTTATCCCTTCTCATAAGAACTTATCAGTGTGATTTTTAAATACAATACAAAGAGGTGGATATTTTTAGCAATGATAATTTATTTGGAGCTTTAGAGTTTACCAGGCACTTTATCCTTCAATTTGATACTTACCACAGCACATCATCTTACAGATATAAAAACTGAGACTAAGATATATGAAGTTAGTGACTTGACCAAAGATTTTAAAAAATTATGACCAAATAATTAATTCATGTCAAGAAAATGAGAACTGGAAAACACTGTCGCATTAGGAATATTATTCATTTAATAACTATTTATTTGTCACACATCATGCTAAGTGCTGGTTGCCATGATGAGATAAATATCGCCCCAGTCTCCGAGATCATGGTCTGATGTGGAGACAAACAATGTGATGGAATAAAACAATATAAATATGAACAGTATCGAGAAACTTTCAAAGTCACTTGAGATCCCTAGAGGTTCATAGAGTATATTTTGAAAGACTAATGTTTGGGGGATTTAAAGATCAAGATAAATGACAGTAATTTAGGCACATGGGTTGAAATGGAAGAGTGATGAAATGGCCAAATATTTGGAATGTATATATCATAGGCTGTGTTTGGTTCTCATCTGGAGACATACTGTGCCTTGTGTAGAATAGATGGAATTGATTGTCTTGGTTAAAATGACCTAATCTTTTCATACTTGGATTGTGTTCTATTTTGTCTTTGCTTATAAAATTGTAGTTCTACCTGTGTTAGGCTGAGGGGTCTTATTTATGAGTGAGATTTCATTTCAAAAAAGTTTCTATACTAAAAAGAGCTTGAAAACTCTATGTTGGATTTTAGGTCAATATATTTTTATTCCCCAAAGACACACATTGATTTGTAGCCAGTTGATCTGTGTATAATATGACAAAGAGACTCAATCATAAAAATTTCATTGTCAAATCTACTAAAATTATGAATGATTCTAGTTCATGAATAAAATTTAAAATTCGTAATGTGGCCTGTTGGGCCCTTAGATAAACTAACCCTTACTCACTTCACCAACCAAGATGTGTGCCCTTCTGTCCTCGGCTTTCTGTGGCCTGCTTCAGTTACCCTGGTCTTACTGGTAGAATGCAGGTGCTGTGTTCTTGGCCCACAGTGCTCTTTCTAATCCTTCCAAGTCCTGCAAATCCTTCAGACCTCAGCTTTTTTTTTAATGTATTGATTTTTAAATTTTTTTATTGATTTCAGAGAGGAAAGGAGAGGGAGAGAGAGATAGAAACATCAATGATGAAAGAGAATCATTGATTGGCTGCCTCCTGCATGCCCCACACTGGTAATCAAGCCCGAAACCCAGGCATGTGCCCTAACTGGGAGTTGAACTGGGACCTCTTGGCTCAACCACTGAGTCATGCTGGCCCGGCCAGACCTCAGCTTTATATGTCCTTGCTCAGAAAGCCTTTCCTAGTCTCCTGATCCAGGTGAGAACCACTTCAGTTCTCTTAGAACTAGGGATTATTTTATGAAGAGTGCTTATCATACCTGTACTTAAATAATCTATACTAATAATAGAGGAATATGCAAATTGGTTGGGATGCCGTCACATAATGACCAATCAGGGTGGGGGCAGGGCTGCGGCGGAGAGCTCTTCGCATGCCTGCGCTGGGGTCCGCAGGGCGTGGAGAGGAAGGGAGCGCAGATAGGCAGTTAGGGGGATCAGGCCAGGAGAGGAGAGAAGATAGGCAGTTAGGGCAATCAGGGCAGCAGGGGAGAGCAGTTAGGGGAATCAAGCTGGCAGGGGAGAGCAGTTAGGCAGCTAGGGGGACCGGGCCAGAGGGGAGAGCAGTTAGGGGGATCAGGCTGGCAGGGGAGCAGTTAGGGGCCTCAGGCAGGCAGGCAGGTGCGTGGTTAGGAGCCAGTGGGTCTGGATTGCGATTTTGTGCACTGGGCCTCTAGTTAATTATATAAGAAAGCAGGGTCCTTGTCTATATTCCCCATCACTGTATTTTGGCTCTCATTAGGATCCGGTATGCATTAGGTACTTTTGAATGAAATTATTAATTTTACCAACAGGCCCCAGAATCTTCTCTAGTGTGGTAAGGCAAATTGTGATTCAGGCGTCATAGCATGCTTCTTCCTTATCATCCTTATTTAGATATGCATAATATTTTATAATTCTCAAAGGAGTTTTAAAGATCACTTTTTCTCCAAGTACATTCAACAATCATGTAAAGTAGACTGGACAGAAATTGTCACTTGTATTTTAGAGAAGAGGATTGCAAAACCCAGGTATTCCTTCTTTCCAGAGCTAGTTTAAGGTAGAAAGAACTTTGGCTATAGCCCATCCCTCCCACAATTGCACATCCATTGCTTTTTATTGTGCAAAGCAACCTTAGGGTTTGCAAGTTACCAAATAAATCCTGAATCAGATTCTAATTTAAGATAATTGTGCAAGTGATTTAAAATGTCTTGAGTAATTGAATACTGTCCACCACACACTCTGAACAGCCTTGTGATTTGGAAGCTAGTCCTCCAGATAAATGCCGAATCAAATGGGTAATTGATTTAGTCTGAAGTTATCCATCTTTAAGAGTCAGGAGTGACACATTATCAGGCAAGCCTGAAAGGTATGTTTTCCCACAAGAGAAATCTTACTGAAATAGCTAAGCAAATCAAACACAATTACCCAAGTCTGCGTTCACATGGCATCAAATCCTACTTTGATCATTTAACTTTCTTTAAATTTATGGGCACGTTTGACCTCTTCTATACTCAGATGAGCAAACTTACTAGTGAATAGACAGATGACAGTTTATATCCTACTGTGGTATGTCAGATCCCCCCAACTCCAAAAGGGAGGGGGCATTTGGAGAGTGATTATATAGTAGTTAAAGGGCAGGAGGGTAGAGGGGGACTTGCTCATGTTTATGGCTCAGCATGCAACTCTGTCCCCTGGGGCATTTGCATTTAATGGAGTATGAAATGAAATGATCCATTTACAGCATTTAGTTTATATGGTTCATGACTTTGTAAAAGTGCCTTGAGGTTTGCAAGTCTCTGCATAAATCTTGATAATAAACATACATATTCTATTATATATGAAATGTAATTTTAGTAAATCAACACTAAATCTTTATGATTGAATCTCTTTGCCATGTTAGTACACAGAGCTACTTGCTATATATTACACTGTGTGTCTTTGAGGGATAAGAACATATTGACCTCTTTTGTATGTCATTATGGTTGGGAATTCTCAAATAAGCTATAAACCTTCTGAAACTTGAGTCCATTTACTCCTAGAAATGTTATAATTCAAATTTTAAATGCTTTTAAAAATTGTAAATAAGTTCATGCAGGGCTGTTTGAACACCAAACACTTCTTTAGGACTAAAGATTTGATGAGAGCATGTAAATGAGAACATAAGGCGTGTGAGCCCTTTAAGATGGATATAACTTCCAGGTCAGCAGTGTTTCTATTTGGAGAATAACCTGTCCCAGAACTTGGAAAGGGGCACACTGGAGTGTTCAGTAGAACCCAGAACATGAAAGCCCATTGTCACCTTTGAGGTATAGAAACAATCTGATGGGGTTCTCGCTCTTTGCAGATGAAGATGACTGTAGTCCCGTGGGATGTGGTCCGCACTCTTGGTGCGTCTCAGAGGAAGAGGTTGCCACGTGCCAGTGTTTGAGAGGATTTGCTGGGGATGGAAAAGTATGTTCTGGTAAGAGTGAAGGTCAATGTACATAACTGTGGAAAATAGTGAACCAGAAACATTCTCTCAGATCAAATGGGTTCAAAAATCTCCTGAAGGACTTATGTAATCAGCAGGATTGAATAAATTATTTGGTATTAGCTAAAAAGATAATGGGCTTGCCCTCGGGGGTGGGAGTGGTGGGGGGGAGGAGACATATGTAATACTTTAACCAACAACAACAACAAAGAAGATAATGGGTGGCATGTATAGAATTATGAAACATAGTATGTTGTTACATTACATTGAGTTTATGTTAAAATTACATTATATATGGAGTTGACATTAAGGAGAAGAATTTATAATTAGTTCAGAAGTATGAATTTGAGTTCAAGTCAAATTTATAAAACCAACAATTCCAATAAAAACACAGCCTTTTTTCCTCCAAAAGCTTAGGTCATATGTTTTAGTTTATTAAATAGACTGTGATGGATCGGCTTCTATTTTACATTGATTACCTCAAAATTATTAAGTTAGCGATTACTGTAAAAAGTCTCAGTCCTTATGGCCTGAAACTCTGGCACAAAGTGACTTACTTACACATATGTAGCTAATCAGACATGTGAGGGATCTGTAAAAATCGACTGAGACATGAGCTTTCTGGGTTTGCATTGCATTTGCAGTCTCTGTAAACAACTGAATGATCATATTTAAGATTATACTTATTCTTTCCTCGTATCCTCATTTAACCTAGAAAGGCCTATGTGTTTCATTAGTTCATCATTTGCCCACAGATATGGATGAATGTGAGATGGGTATCGCGGTTTGCCCGCACCCCTCCTCCAAGTGCATCAATACAGAAGGCAGCTATGTTTGCACGTGCTCAGAAGGCTACCGAGGAAATGGGACTCACTGTCTTGGTAAGAGTTTGTGTGCTCAGGTGGGTGGGCGGAGGCAGGCCTTGGACAATCATGGAATGCTCTGGGTGTGGTGGGCCAAGAAAAGGCAGGATATGACTGGGTGACGTACATGTTAAGACTAAAAGGAGTTGTGTGGCCTGTTCAAACGGACATCTTTCAGTTCTTGGTGCATAGTCAAGCTTGTGCCCGTGTACTGTTCTTGCACTCGTCAGCGACAGCACCCAGCAGAGGCCATTCGCCCCTCTGCCTTTCTAGTTCTTTTGTCTGGGTTCGAGTGACGCCAGGGCCTCTTCAATACTGCATACCTTGATCCCCGGCCAGTGTGGCTTGGTTCGCTGTCATCCAGTGCACTGAGGGGTTGCTGGTTCAATTTTGGTAGGGGGTGCATGTGCTCAGATTGTGGGTTCAATCTCAGTATGGGGCATGCAGGAGGCAGATGATCGATGTTCCATTCTCACATCAATGTTTCTCTTTCTCTCTCCCTCTCCCTTCCTCTCTCTCTCTCTAAAGAAAAAAAAAGCAATCAAAATATTATTAAAAATAATAATACTCCATTCCTTGAGCCATCCTGGGTGGAATTGAACATTTTCTTTGTCACCATATTTGGCAATGGAACAGCTGTGAACTGCAGATATAGGTTTTAGTGTGTGTGTGTGTGTGTGTGTGTGTGTGTGTGTGTGTGTGTGTAAAGGAAAAGAGGTGTGGTTCTGTGAAAAGGGCTCTTCGGTGGCTCTTGATAATAGATGAAAGACTCACGCCACTGGCATTTAGACACAAATAATGAACGATTAAACCTCTTTCATAACCACTAGCCTCTGCCAAGGTCTGGGTGTGGCTTGTTGGAGGGGAGTTCACGCAGTGGCTGTCTTGTCCCATGCCAAGTGTCAGAAGTGTAGCATCACCGAGCAAGTGAAGGCCTGCCTGCAGCCCTCGCACCCAGTGAAGTGGGTGTCTAAGGTTGTACGGGGCTTCAAAATGTCTCTGAGTGTTTTATTTTCCTGCTGAAAACATAAAAATCTTTTTACAGCGAGGGGCAGATACCCTGGTAAGAAACTAAAATGGTCCTGCTTTCTCCTATATGTTGAGATTAAAGATGAAATATCATTCATCTTCCAGGATCTGGCTGATTTAAATCAGACCTTTATCAGATTAGTTTTGTGGAGTTCACAGACATCTGTAAGTGCTATTTTGAGCACATATTTGGCTGTCAGTCAGGAAAATGTCACTGCTCTAATTAAGCTGGCTCATAGATAATTTAGACAAACAGGCTGTATATTTAATTTACTTTGAAGAGAAAGGAAGGGCCCAGCCTGCCCCATAGAAGCAGTGAGCTGGCTCCTACCCTTTCCCTCTCCCTCTCATCTTCCATCTCCTCCTTCCCTCCCTCTCCAGATATAGAGATATAGATATAGATATAGATATAGATATAGATATAGATACAGTGCTATATAGAAGAGTTGTTATTCTTATTGTAAAGAGTAGCTGTGCTTCTTGGCCAAAAGTCTATCTTTGTTTTTGCTTCTTGCAAAAGCTCTTTCAATCTCAGGGTGATAGCTCATAGAAATAGTAACAGGAAGTCAGTTTTTAAAAAGACTCAATTTGAGCCCTAACAGGTTTGGCTCAGTGGATAGAGAGACGGCCTGCAGACTGAAGGGTTCCAGGTTCAATTCTGGTCAAGGGCATGTACCTTGGTTGCGGGCACATCCCCAGTAGGGGCTGTGCAAGAGGCAGCTGATCGATGTTTCTCTCTCATCGATGTTTCTTAACTCTCTATCCTTCTCCCTTCCTCTCTGTAAAAAATCAATACAATATATACAAAAAAATAAAAAGGCTCAATTTGAGCCATTCAGGATCGTGATTCAATGACACAGATATTTAATGGGCCTCTATTTGTACAACGGCGCAGCACTAGGAACTGGGGGGGAATACCAAGGTGATAAAGGCAGTCCTTGCTTGCAAGAAGAATGATTTAAGAGAAACACAGCTGTGATGAGTGGTGAAGAAAGGCAAGCATCATAAGAGAAGTGAAAACTGCAGTGGAAGCTCAGAACTGGGAGAAATACCTGTTGCAGGTTTGGGGGAAGACATCACTGAGGAAGGATTATTTTGCAGGCGTGAATTTTTGCTAGGCAGAAACGTGAAGGGGTAGAAAGTAGCCTCATTGAGCACTGCCTGTAGGTTGTATGTGAGAGAAAGCAGAAACCGAGGCTGGTTAAGGTAGTGTCCTTGTCTTCTGTGCAGACTGGGTGGCCTAAACAAGACATTTATTTTCTCACAGTTCTGGAGGCTAGATGTCCCAGATCAAGGTGCCAGCTCATTCAGTTCTTGGTGAGGGCTCTCCCCGGCTTACAGACGCTGCCTTCTTGCAGCACACACACACACACACACACACATACACACACACACTTCTCTGTGGCTCATGCAGAGAGGGGGGAGTGAGGGAGGGAGAGATAGAGAGAGAGAGAGAGAGAAAGGGAGAGAGAGAGAGAGAGAGAGAGAGAGAGAGAGAGAGAGAGAGCTGATGTCTCTTCCTCTTATAATGACACCAATCCTATTGGATCAGGGCCCCATTCTTAGGACCTCATTTAACCTTAATTACTTCCCTTAGGCCCTTTCTCCAAATATAGTCACCATGGGAGTTAGGGATTCAACATGTGAATTTTGGGGGATACAGTTCAGTTGCTAACCGGTGCATTGGGTTACATTTGTGGAAGATGAGAATCTGAGGGTTAGTCATTGGGGTTTTATTTCTCTAGAACAGCCCCACGTGGACTGGCCGTGGTCCGGGTGCCCAGCACTCCCCTATGGCAATGGCTACCATATTGGGCAGCATTGGAATCACGTGGTGCAGGGATGGGAGACGTGGTTCAGGAAGATTAGCCTGGCACTGGTGCTTGGGGGTGGTGCAGAGAGGGCAGGATGCAGGGGATGTAGTCAGGCTCTTCTTATAGAGAGGAGGGACCTGCGTGATAGGGTGGTAACCGAGAAAGGAGAAGGTGGGTAGCTGGCACAGAAAGTGATGACTTAGTTTATGTTTATGTTAAAAAGGCAGCAATGTTTTCTTTGGTGTAAGCTGACCTTCTAAATGCTTGTCTAGAGATCACTTCCCAATCGCCAGCTTTCCCACTGAGCTACCTGTGTTGGGAAGTTCCCTTTCCCTCCAAGCAGTAGGAGAACGCCAGCCTTATGTAGAAGTTCCCCTGAACCGCTTGCAGCCCAGCGACCCTGCTCATCTCTCTCACCAACGTTCATGATGAAACATTTTGGATCTGACGACGTGCAGAGCTCTGAGATCGTGCCGCACGATCAAACTCGAAGATACTCTCCTCGAATGTTGGGTTTTCTCATTGTCTGACCTGCTTTCCTCCTCCATACCCCATTATCCCTACTCCCCCTTTCCCGGCAGATATTGACGAGTGCCAGCTGGGCGTGCACACCTGTGGGGAAAATTCCACCTGTACAAACACAGAGGGAAACTACACCTGCCTGTGTGCCAGCAGCCTGTCTGAACCCCGGCGGATTTGCCCCGGTAGGTTGGTGGGTTATCTAGATCCAAGGGGGAGGAGCTGGATTGGGAAAATGCGGTACCCCAGTGTGTTTGCATTTGAGATTCCAGAAAGCATTTGGTCCCACCAGGCTGTCCGGTTTGCTTTCCTGATGAGGTTGATGCCGGGCTTGAGAATGTGCAATGGTCTGTTTCTTAATTTTGATAGCATCTGGGATAAATCCGTCTTCATTACTCACAGTTCAGTGAAGGAGGCAACACAGGCGGCTCTTTAACTGCAGCGAATGCCCCGGGTTGTGGTGTCAGTTTCTCGGGCTGCTGGGGGAACCGCAGGGCCGGGCAGGTTGAGGAGGATGTCTGGACCTTTCGCATTTTGAGTCACTTTCAAGGATTTTAAAATTTTACTTCAAAAAGTTAGTATTTCTTGATCTGATTAGAATTCCAGCTCTTTTTTTCTCCTTTTTTAAAAAAAAATGTTCATAATAGTCAACTCCTGCTTCCTGAACCCTCTCCCCATAACCCAGCCTCTTCTCACCATCACACCCCAGCAGGGGGCTTGCCTTGGAGCTCCGGAGGCGGGATCAGACTCGTCCCCTTTACTAGTTACCCCCGACAGCTATTTATCCAGCTCCGTGCTGCAACCAGAATGCATCCTAAGAAAGGAAAGTCCTGGCTTGCTTGAGTGTCTGTTTTTTCTAACAATTTATTTTCTCAAATAGTTTGCTCTTCTTAAAGGTATTGGAAGATTGCTAATATTTACAGAGTCAACTACATACCCTCATGTCTTCCTTTTAAAGAGCAGTGAACCATTCAGGGAAAGGACTTTACCACTTTGGCATTTCCTATGTGTGGTAGCATTTCTTTTCTCTCAGCGGGACTAGTCTTGTCTCTGAGGTTCCCCCCTGAAAGTGAAATAGTTTTTAGAAGAAATCATTGCGTGGGAGAAATTTTTGAGACTCCCAGGACAGCAAGGGTAATGGACTGTGTATGGGTGGGTGGTTTATAAGCCATAAATAGATACTGTGGTTCAGTGAGACCCTCTTAGAGCTAGTCGTCATTTCACATGTGTGTGTTTGTGGATGACAGATGTGCTTTTATAATGAGATCAGTGACTCTGCATTCATTCGGTGTCTTAGGATTGACCATTCTCTTACTTGCCTCCAATATGTTTTATGTCAAAAAATACTGAACCTAAAGAAAGAATGGGCCTCTTCGTGGCGAATAACAGAAAGTCTGGTTAGGAAAGTGAAACTATTGTTGCTTTGGTAGTTCCACTGTCACTAAAAGGCACCGTTTCACAAATTGTTCACAGAAACTAGTTCCTGACACTGATCCAGGTTTCCCCTGACACTCAAAAGCTAAAGTGAAGCAAAGTGAAAGACCAATTGCTACCATTAATTTTATATAGAAAAAGTTTTGAGCATTCCAAGACCAATAATAATAATAATAATAATAATAATAGCCCTAACCAGTTTGGCTCAGTGGATAGAGCGTCGGCCTGCGGACTGAGGGGTCCGGGGTTCGATCCCGGTCAAGGGCATGTACCTCTGTTGTGGGCTCATCCCCAGTGGGGAGTGTGCAGGAGGCAGCTGATCGATGTTTCTCTCTCATCGATGTTTCTGACTCTCTATTTCTCTCCCTTCTTCTCTGTAAAAAAATCAATAAAATATATTTGAAAAAAAATAATAACAACAACCACCAACCAAATCATACCTAATGCACTTAATTATATCCAGTCACATCCTCAGGAGCTTGTAGACTTTTCTGATACCTTAGAACACACCTTGCTAACAGGTGCACAGAATAAAGGGAGATGAATCACTGATACAGACAGTTCAAGGCTATGGAGCTTGATGCTGAGGTGCCCAGTGTGGTTCCTGGGGAAGGAGCGTGGCCACTCTCGCTGCTGGGGTGCCTCTGGCTCGCTAAGGGCTCGTGTAAAACACTGAACGCTATTTTTGCTTTTCGTCTTTTCTTCCTCAAAGTGAAAATCCTCTTTGGGTTTCTGTTGGTTAGCGAAAGCGGGCACTGATGGATGTAGGTCTTTCGTAATGGGAAGTGGATACTTGTGCCTGAAGGATGCTGCTAGCTTCAGAAAATAAAAATAGAATCTTTGATTCTTCTAGACTCGACTCCACCCTCTCATCTCAAGGAGGATGGGCGCCATTCTGTGAGAAATGGTTACTCGGAATGCCCCCCGTCCCACGCCGGGTACTGCCTCCACGGCGGCATGTGTATGTACATTGAAGCCGTGGACCGCTACGCATGCAAGTAAGTGCAGCCGCCTTTCTGGTGGCCCAGAGAGGTGCCCCTGCAACCCATAGCTTCCAGCTGACTTACAACATTTGTAGTGAGGAGCACTTTCTATAATTAGGTTTTTCTCAGGGAAACATAGATAAACCTGCATCTATACATTGTGTGTGTGTTGCATTCTCCCTGCATGCCACGCCGTCCACCCCCACAGCTGCCTGTGCTAAATGTACATTTAAGGAATTGGGTGATTTCCCCTTTTCCTTAAATAACTTGATATTACTACTGGGACAGTCTGGGGATTAAACTTCTCGTTTTGGTTGAAAAACTTAGGTTTGTGAGAGAATGGCTTACAGCGTTGATTTCTTTTCGGCCACATGTATGGAGAGCGTCCATGGTGTGTTTTTGAAGTTACACAAGTGTTGTATATATTCACACTGGACTCCTTGCCTTCCATTCTCAAAGCTGAAATATATGCATTTTTTTAAACTTAATTTCCTAATAGTTGATGTTTGCGCTGTTGTTGTTTCATGGCAACTGCTGGATGGAGTCACGATGGCTGTTTGCTCCCTCTTTGTCCCCAGGGTGGTTTCGCAGTGGGCAGTGTCACCTGCGGCCCGGAAACCCTGCGGCCCTCCTGCGCACTCACCCAGAACACCTTCCCCGTGGGGCTTTTCATAAAGTGACACTCACAATGTCTAGTTCCATCTCACTTTTACTTTTTGTTATTTCCATGTTTTGAAGGCAATATGAGGGAATCCATGGGTTCTGAAAAATAAGTAGGCCTCCTAATGCTAGACTTTTGACTCACTGATAATTTTCTCTGTGCCTGAGGAAGGAGTGATAAAATATTCTGATTCTCACGAATAGATGCTATAAGTTTAAAGGCTTTTATTATTAAAAATTTTTTTTATTGATTTCAGAGAGGAAGGGAGAGGGAGAGAGAGATAGAAACATCAATGAGAGAGAATTATTGATAGGCTGCTTCCTGCACGACCCCTACTGGGGATCGAACCTGAAACCCCGGGCATGTGCCCTGACTGGGAATTGAACCATGACCTCCTGGTTCATAGGTCAATGCTCAACCACTGAGCAACACTGGCCAAGCAAGGCTTTTATTATTTATCAGTGGTAATCAGCAGAAACATAGTCTAAATTATTAGAAGGATTAAGTTATATTTATTCTGTGACAAAGTGGATGCCTTGCATTATAAGTCATTTCAGCCTGACAAAAATAATAAGAATGCTCATGAATATTAGCAAAATGACTCCATTCTAATAAAAATCTATTTCCATATTCGTATTTGCATGCTATAATTTTCTAACCTAAGATAAATCTAGTGTTAGTTATTCTTGATTTTGACAATAAAATCAAGTTGTTTTACTTGTTTGTGGTTTCTTATCATCCCAAATAATGAAATTATGAAAACAAATGTTCTAGTTTATTAGGTCCTTTTTTTGTTTTTATAAAAGACTTTATGATAATATGAACTGTACGGAAGAGTTAGGCATTGCAATTAATATGTTATGTTCATCTGGACCTGGTAGTGTCAATTAATTAAATGGCTTATAAACTCTAACACATTGCTTTTCTTCCTGCCGTTAAATCTTGATGAAAATATCACATTCCTCTGATAATGTTTTAAAATGTGTTGTTACAAAAGGACCAACTGGAGATCAGACTCATATTTGAGGGCCTTTCATCAAAATCAATATTGAAACTATGACAAGCGTTCCCATTAATTTGGATCATAACTTTGTTTTTGAATTCTACATTTAATTAAACTGTGGTTTAATCAAACATTCAACCCTTCCCTCTTCCTGCCCAGTGACATCACCTTGTAGGTTTTAAATTCCATAATGACACATCTCTTGGGAGCTCTCTAGTCCAACGTTTTTTTTATATTTTATTGATTTTTTTTTACAGAGAGGAAGGGAGAGGGATAGAGAGTTAGAAACATCGATGAGAGAGAAACATCGATGAGCTGCCTCCTGCACACCCCCTACTGGGGATGTGCCCGCAACCAAGGTACATGCCCTTGACCGGAATCAAACCTGGGACCCTTCAGTCCACAGGCTGACGCTCTATCCACTGAGCCAAACCGGTTAGGGCTCTAGTCCAACTTTTATTAGAAACACTTCATGGGCAGCATTCCACACAGTGCTCCCAACGCTGCGAGCAGGTTTATAAAGGACGCTCTTTCCTTGCGTGGATGACAGGGACCCCTGGCTGCCCAGGGTGCAGGGATGTGAGGACTGAAGTCTCCATGCCAGGGGCTTCCCCCAAGGATCCTGGGACTGGAGATCCTCAGAAGAGTCCAAACTTCCTGAGCTTAGAAACGGTCCTCCCTTATTCTGGTTAGGCTTTGAACCAACCCACACCCTTCCAGGAAGGTCTTCTTCAGACCAAGATCCGCCCGCACAATGTGTGAAAAAGCTTGGTTGGCCTTTACTTAGTCTAGAATTTCTTGAAATTATTTGACCATAGAAATGGACACTTAGTTGGCCAGGGACTCTTTTGTTTGGTTTAAGAGAAGAATTCAATAACCCAAAGAACCAGCCGTGTGCAGCCCACGCTGGTGAACTTGTGGAATGCTGACTCACTGCTCTGGGTCCTATTAGGCTCATAGAGGCTCGGATATTGCAGCCCGTCGTGGCCTCCATATGGTGAAATGTATAATCCTTGGTATATTCCTTGAGACCTTAAAATCTCTGAGAGGCCCTGACTGGTTTGGCTCAGTGGATGGAGCGACGGCCTGTGGACTGAAAGGTCCCAGGTTCGATTCCGCTCAAGGGCATGTACCTTGGTTGCGGGCACATCCCCAGTAGGGGGTGTGCAGGAGGCAGCTGATCCATGTTTCTCTCTCATCGATGTTTCTAACTCTCTATCCCTCTCCCTTCCTCTCTGTAAAAAATCAATAAAAATATTTTTTTAAAAAAATCTCTGAGAGAACTCAAGGTGTGGCCCATTAATATCCAACAGTTTAAAAGTGTGTGCTAGGCTTTGATAGTTAATGTCTATAACCAAAGATAGCTAGAATGAAAACAGATGCCAGGACAGCCTGGAATCACTTCATAGTCCTGCTGTCTCTTGCCTGGCCAGTTCTAGAGTAGCTTTCAGAGATGCATGTGGCTTGTATAGTAGGAAGAACATAGGCTTTGAAATCCACCATTTGAATGGAACCTGCCATTCACTAGCTGAGTGACCTGGCCCAAATTACTTAACCCCATTTTGAGCCTCACTTTCCTCATCTGTAAAATGGGGACAAGCCATCAAAAATAAACAACAGTGTCCAGCACAGTGTCAAACACATAAGGCGTTTAACAAATGCTAGATCCTTTCCCTCCCATCTCTGAAAGTGACTCACCAAAGCTCCTGTGACCAACTCCAGGTAGAACTAGGGCAGCATCAAGATATTCTGGGGCTTTGTCTAATGTTTCTTCCATGAGGCCCCTTTCTACCATGGGGTCTGGTATCAATTCTCTCTGTTTTCATTCTGTCAAGTCCTTTTGGAATAAGGCGGCTGCATGAATAGATAGATAGCTGGCCCAGGCTCAAGGGGAGGACATTCCTACCAAGTGAGCATCACAAAATATTTAATAGGATATTTTTTAAGTTTACGCCCCGCCCCCTCCCCCCGTGAAGAATAATAAAACAAAAAATAGAACTGCCATTCTTTGCACGATCCGCACAGTTTGTGGAAGTTCTCAATCCCAGTAGATGGCAGCATTGTTTCACTTACTTCCCTCCGGAGGTTCTGCGAGCCAGTCGCTGGTGGGTAATTCTATTGAGTTTCACTGGTGAACTGGCAGGGAAGGGTTGAATGTTTGATTAAACCCCTCCATTTAGTTTCTCCCCTTTGAAGACAGTAGGCAAACGCCCCTGAGAGCTCTCCTTCTGGGCCTGTGGTGATGGAAAAGGAAAATGTTTCCTCCACAGACGGGGCTGTGCTTGCTGGTCCACATTCTTGTATGGCCTGGGCTCCAGCGAAGGACTCTGCTTCCCATGCCACCCGCCTCCGAATGTAGACTGCATTGCGATCCGGCCAAACATATGCTCGAAAGCTCGCTTGGCTCTTAGGGCAAAGTTGCTTTGTGTTGGTCTTAAAGGCAGCGCCTCAGGATTTCCGCCTAAGAGTAACTGATCTTTAATCAATGCCCTGCGATGCCTGGGAGAGACCGTGTGCGAAATCCCCCCATCGATCCCAGGGCAAAGGGACGAAAGGGGAAGTCCACGCAGCATGGACGTGCGGAGCGGAGACTGACCCCTCATGGATTTCCCATGTGCGTCCGAAAAGCTGAGCCTGGAAATGCAGAGGCAGCTGGATATCGGGCCTGAAAAAGAGAAGCGTTTCTGCCCGGGGCTCCGGCTGACCGCTGTGTGTGTGTGTGTGTTGTCACAGCTGTGTCGTGGGCTACGTCGGGGAGCGCTGCCAGCACCGGGACCTGAAATGGTGGGAGCTGCGCCACGCGGGCCGCGGGCGGCAGCGGAGCATCACGGTGGTGGCCGTCTGCGTGGTGGTGCTGGTCCTGCTGCTGCTGCTGGGGCTGTGGGGCGCCCACTACTACAGGTGAGGCCTCCCGTCCACCCGCAATCTCAGCCCCTCCTGGGGGAACACCTGCCTCCCTGAGAGGGGCGTCTGCACCCCTCTGCACTTCCAACGGGGGTCACAGCGAAGGACAGTGACACGGGGTGCAGGAGTCCCAGCTCCGAGACGGCAGCCGTTTCCCTTTTCCTTCCTCCACTCCAGCCCACACGCCTGCGTAGTGCATGGGGCTGCTACTAGTGTTTAATGAGGCAGTTTTGTATCCACCATTTTTCCCCCCTGGTACCTGCTTTCCCCTCCGCCTGCACAGCTGTACTTTCTTTCATGGCTGTCTTCCATTGAGTTGGTTTCCCACAAAGCACTCACGTTTGTTCCAGCAAATCAGTATCTCCCCCAAGTCGGAAGGAAGATGTTGGTCCTTGGATTTTGTGTTTCCAATCATGTCAAGTTAAAAGTTAAAAACTGTGAAACAATATTTGTACATTTTATTTTTAAAAATTGACACTATGTTGGGATGAAGGTGTAGGCATCACACTGCTGATGTTCCGTTTTCTTAAAAAGTAGGACGTCATCCTCCATGACCCTCCACATTGAGAAACGTTTTCTGTTCTGTTATAGTTTGTGCTGCACCAGGTCACTGAGTTGTAACACTTTGGGGCTGAAGGGAACTTTATTGAGTCATCGAATTCGATCGCATCATTTTATGGCCCCCAAACCTAACACCCACTTAACTAATAGGCTCCAGTTTCTGGGAACGTATGGAATATCTACCACCATCTGCCAATAAAACTCCAACCACACTCACTGGTACTACAACCCCTCGGGTGTCAACTGTCTTGTATTATGGAGAACTCAACATATTCAAGAGATGTTTGTCTGAGATCCTGCTATATCCCAGTGTAGAGGTTAAGGACATGGGCTCTAGAATCACACTGCACGGGTTCAGTTCCTAGTTCATGTTTAATTAACATTGGGAGCCGGTGTAGCTCAGTTGGTTGGGCATCGTCCCATGCACCGAAGGGTTGCCAGTTCGATTCTTTGTTGGGCCATGTGCCTGGGTTGTGGAGGCAGCCAATTGATGTTTCACTCTCACATCAATGTTTCTCTCTCTTTCTCTCCCTCTCCTTTCCTCTCTCTCTAAAAATCAAT